TATATTCATAACATATTTAGGTGGTATTAATAAATGCATAATATAAGCAGCTATATGCGGTTGGCCATCGTGTTCCATTAATTTAATAATAACAAATATATCCTTCTCATTTTCTGTTTTGACCTTGTCCACCAAGTTTTCAAAGAATTCTTTGACAATGATTACTCCAGCACCAGGCTTATTAAACACCACTGATTAATGACTTATAGTGTATAATGTATACAGAAAAATCCGGTTTACAAGTCACATGTTGCCAGATCTTGAAGCAAAAAGCTCAGGCAATAAGCTTTACTTTAAGTAAGGAAACACACTCAGTCAAATAAACAGCTGTGTAACCAAGGCCAACAAGAAGACAGCTATTTAGAAGACAACAATATACTGCAACTGTGGACTGAGAAACACAACTCGTTACCGTTTATACATTCACACACTGACTGCAGTAAGAAACCAGACCTTGCTGTGTCGCTAAGCAAAAGACCAGTGCCAAACTTTGAGAAACACATAAAGCTGAAGTTACACAAAGCCAAACCTACAAATAGAACCAGACAGCTCATGTTAACGTGTCATACAAAGTACAACGCTGGGAAAGCTGCATACTGGTATTCTGTTATGAGACACAATGATTGTAATATCAAACATAGTGTACTACTATATACTATTAAAATATTCAGTACAGCAAGTTCTTTGTACAATTTTCTTAACTTGTGAAGAAAAATAGTGTTTGGTAGGTAATTTAGCTGCTCTACAAGTGATATGCCAAATCCCTTCCTTTACATTCTCAGATATACCATAGTTTTTACTGTAATAGAAAAATGTAAATATTTACAACTTTCCAACTAACTTTTTGCAAGTGCACTGCCAACTGTCTACTGAATTCCTCCCTACTTAAGAAAGTAATGAGAAAGTTCATCTTCATGCTTCAGTCTTAGTCTCTTATTTTAATGGATGAGCAAATATCAAGTCTATTTAATGGGTTCTCTATCACTCCCTCTGCTGCTGTCCAGCACACCAGGGAAAGCATTAAAAGTAGCACTGCCAGTTATTTTCTTTAATGACTAATTACAACTGACAAATGCCTATAATAAGTTACCAGAGGACAAACTGAAGATGACTGCATCTTTTACGAACGGCAAGTGTTTTTGAGATAAATCAGTGGATCATCAAAACTGGAACTGACATTCTGTTACTCTGAAAAAATATGAGGAAATTATCTTTTAAAGTCACTATTAAAAACCAGCTATTTAATTTGTGAATTCATCAGTCAAACAACAAAGCAACTGTTAACAACACAGTTTCAAAAGATGAGATTATTTTAACTACATGACAGGCATCCTAAGCAGCAGAATACAGAACAATACGACACTGAATGGAGCAGGAATCACCTGAATTAATGCAGGTCCCAGTTGATGTCTATACTTTACTGGTGCAAATTATAGAACAAATGTACAAACTAGAAGGGCACTCAGAAAGCACAGACCTCCACCAACTTGCCTCACACAAGAAAACCACAGTCTCCTGGAGGAAGACCCTATGATTCACCCAATGATTAACCTATCCACCACATTTTCCTGCCATAATGGACTTTGTCACTTCTTAGTAATATGTCACCTGACTTCCTAGGGTCTTTTTGCCAGAGAGAGAAAAAGGCTGAAGCCTAACTTCTCACAAGTCTCGGTGCATATACCTTCAGAGTAGTCAAAGCTGTAACCAACCACGACGCTGAAGTCCTTGCACATGCACATTACAGCAGTAAGCACAATTTCCTCGGTGGCATGTCATAGACTATATACATCCATATGTGTTACATTTTATATGAAACAATAAATGTATTGAAATCCCATCTTTGTGTAGACCAAAGTGTGCAATATGACTTCGGAGAAATACCTTCACATTAATCAATAATGTCCCTCTGTCAACCTACAACTGAACAAATTAACAAAACAATGACACAAATGTGTGTTTTGAGACACGTTGATGTTTTAACTGAATTTTAGCTGATTGAAAAGAGGACGAAAAGATGTCTTACACGTTCAGACCATCTAATATCGCCCAGTTTTCAACTACAAATCGACAGTGAAATCCCAGTTGGTTCTCACAAATCTGCACGATTCACATCCCTGATCGGATATTTCTTACATACCTGAAGTATTTGTTTCTACAGGGATGTTTGAGATTGCTGTTGTATATTTAGACAGGCACACCATTCACTTCAGTTACAGTGAAGGACAAACTGAACATCGCTCCTGTCAGCCAGGAAATGACAACAGGCTGTGAGGTGTGTAGGAGAAAGTGTGGTGGTAGCGAAACTCTATCTAATAATCTATGACCAGTGTTTGGTTTGTCCATTCTGGGCTACTGTAGAAACATGGCAGCATCTGTAGATCAAAAGGTAACACAAGGATTCTTGTTTTCAGATGATTATACACTAATGAAAACATACATGAATATTATATTCCATGTCTGCCAATAGAGCCTCCTAAATGGTAGATCCTTTTATATTTTTATTTTATATTCCTATCCTTTTAATCCAGCTCTGAATAACACCTGACACCTTAAACAATCTCCCTTTACGAGAACTTTTGAGTAACTTCGGTAAGTTTTCTCATCATAACATTAAACAAATATTAAAGTATGTCGCCATTTAGCCAGGCTCCTCTATTAGGAATACAATATTAATAATAATAACTATTAGCTAGTTTAGGTGCTGGCAGAGTAAAATAAGAGTTAAGGGCACATTTTGAACCAAACTAAGATAAATGTATCGGTCAGTAACTCAAAAACATAATAATAATAATAATAATAATAATAAAAAAGCAACCAACTGTCAGTCTAAATCAACAACGTCAGGTAGAGCCACTTACATTTCTTCAAACACTTCATCCAGTGTCGCACTATCGCGCTGTGGTACTTCTTGTTGTCGATGCACCACGTCGACAACCCTTGAATTGAATCCATCGTATTTGTGACACTTTGAAACTTCTTGTCTAAAGCGGACTCCAGAGAGCCACCGGAAGTGGCTCCCGCTCCAGCTGCCATGTCCGGAGGCGCTCGCGCTGCGCTCTACCATTCCAAACGCCAACTGAAAGTTAGCCCTCGAGCTAGCACTTAGCTTAGCGTGCTAGCTCAACGTAGCACGGACACATCGTTCAGCTGCCATTGCGCCGCCACAGACGCCTGAATGCGCGGTGTGCCTGTTTCCAGTCTCCGAGTGAGCGTCCGTGTCACAACCAGTGGTTAATATCGGCTAATATTTCGGGCTAAAACTTGGTGATTTGCGACATCCTGGACGTCTGTTTACTCGCTGCTGGTGGAGCGGTGAAGGGCACTTCCGGAAGCCAGACGTCAGTGTGGCGCCACCCTGTGCCACGGAAGCTGATATTTGTTAGCGCCACCTGTGGCGTGTTATTGGTAACGCAGGACATGCAAATAAAAGTACTGATTTCCTTTTTTTGTGTGTGTGTGTGTGTGTGTTTTCACATGGGTAAACTCTATTAAATTTAATTAAATAAAAAGTAAAGGTAAAATTATAAAGAAAAAGTACATATCAAACGTAAGAATGGGCCTTTTATCCTTATATATAGACCTCTATAGGCCAATTTAAATTAATAATTTATTATATATATTATTATATTATTTAATTTAAATATAAGATGGTAGTAATATTTGTAGTAATGTATCATAATTTATAAGATGATGATTTGTTTTGTATGTTAATTCTTTATTTGCAAAGTAACTATAGCTGTCAAATAAATATGGGGGGGGGATCTTAACTCTTAAATGTAGTGGAGTAGAAGTAGAAATTAAACATAAAATGGAGATAATTTTCTTATAGAGCCAATGTTTTACCAAAGTAATTACAGATATTTAGTGTATCAATATATCAATCTGATCGATTTAGAAAAAAGAAAAAGCTATTATAAAGTTATCAATGTATAACAGCTGTCCAGTAAGAGCTCCAGCTGCTGCTCTCACTTTGGGTTGGATTTCATTTAATTTTATGTTGCACACTGCTAACCCAGAAGAAAATGGACATTAGAAATCAACAAACATATTCTGTATTTTGATGAACCAAATCACTCATTTAATATATAAAAATATGTGCATTTATCAATCAACCACCAATAATGACAATTTCATTATAAGAAACAAAGAACTAGCTGGAAAAAAAGAAAACTTAAAAACAAGAAAAATTAAAGACATAAAACTGGGAAGATCTTTACTTTCTATTTCAGAAATAAAAAATGTAAAACCCAGCACAGCAAAACCTGTACAGTAGGATGCTACATTTTATATACCAAAACAACACTACACTTTTGTTCTCCACCATGTGCTTACACTTTATATGTTAAATAACATAACTCAGGGCCAATAAAAATGACTAATGGTGAAGACTGAGGAACATCTACACAACAGCACATTTGGTTTGCAATGACATGTGGTGAGATGATGATTTTACCATCCTTAGATCAAAAATACACTCGTATGATTGATGATGCAATGTCAGTGTATGATTAACTTTATGTCGTAAAAGTAAGGCTGACTGGTGACAAACCACCAGAGATGAAACACCATTCAACATGAATGATATCGGATTTAAAATACGGATGGTACAAATTGCCATAAAAAAAGAATAGATGTGTTCATGAATGGAAATAGTTTTTGTTTATCATATCTCCATGATATTCCTTATTACGTCATCAAGAGTGAAGCACTTTTGAGTGATGCAAATTATATAACAGCAAGTCTGATATAAATCAATATTCAATGGAAGCTGTTCTTTGCCCTCATAACAACACATTGCATTTGGGGCATTTTGTGTAAATAAGCCAGGCATAAGCTAAAGTTACTTTTTATGTTTTTCAACTACTTCCATCCACAAAGGAAAAAAAACACAATCAAATGACAAGTTTGTCTATATAGTCTCTGATTTGAGTGCCTGTAAAAGCTCTCATGTTGGCTCCACAAGTCTACCGATGAAATTGAGGTTTTCAAGTACGGTATCCTCTTAAACAGATCTTTAATAAATAATATCACAACTCTTTAATGTTAATAAATGTGTAACATTTCCTCTTTGTCATCCAAAGTGCAGTTACATATATTCAAATGGATCAAATATATTATGCCTGCTTTATAACGTATAAAAAAATGGTCACTTAAAACTCGTGTGTAATAGAACGTTATGTTTCAGCTCCTTTTGCACAACAACAAAAACAAGAAGTTCACTCGCTGGCTAGATAAAGGAGTAACTCAACTCACATTTCCTCAACTACCTCAATAATTATCGAGCATTCAGGTTGTGGTATTTCCTGTGCAGCATTTCGCTCTTTTACATACAACAATGGTTGTGTGTGATAATTACTAATAAATAAAGAAGTGACTGAAGTAAGGTGCAGAAAATATATTAATGCAAAATGGTTTTGTTTGGCACATTTTGGCAGGGGCTATGTGGCTTTGCCACACCATGTGTTACAATGAGCTGACAAAATACAATTTAGGCATCCTAAATGCCATTTTTAGTCATTTGTCTCCTTATGGTTGAAATATTCTTTGTAACTATAACAGGGCTGCAACCAACTGTTATTTTCACTACAAATTAAGCTGCCAATTATTTGTTAATTCATCAGTTTGTTTGGACTATAAAATGTAAGAGAATAGTGAAAAATGGCCGTCACAAGTTGCTAGAGCACAAGGTAAAACTGAGAGATTCGTTTGCTATCATATGTGACAAAGAAAGCGCTTTCATAAAAAGGATATCTGTTTTTCTACTTTTTCCGTTACTGTTAGGACTGTGTTCCATATGAAAAAAGTACAAAACAGAGCAAAGACTGCTTCAACGCATTACACACAAAGTATTTCCAACATCTGTTAACTTAGGAAAAGTCAATGTATACAAAAGTGATACCCTTAAATACAAACAGTTCCTTGTAATATAGTGCAATAACTCCGGTGTTATCAAAAACTACACTGGACAGTTATGAGTTAATGAATGTCTCTCTGCATTTCTCCTCCTCCTCCTCTGGTTTTACATGCCTCGCAGCCATCACAGACTGGCTCTGCGCCTAACTTTATGCTTATGTAATCAAGTCCGCCCTCTGCCTTCACTTTGTCTGGCATGCTGTGGCACCTCCATGTGGTAGCAAGGTCAGCTAAGGCCCACTAAAAGGTGAGTCACTTGTAGTACTGGTGTCGCTTGAGGACACTAAGCTGTCTTGTGCAGCTGGGCTGCCACAAGGGGAGGGCAGAGAAATCTCAGGCTGCTTCCAATTCTCACTTTCTCTCCTGATACAGAAATATGACAGCCTGCTTAAAGTGCCAGGGCTATCTGTCAGCTCATGTCCAGCGGTACAGCTGCCCCAGGCTGGTTCAACTGATTCTTCCACTGCAGCTTTCTGTTTTTTCGGTGATCCAGGTAGACACGCTGAAACGGTGTCAAGTGGAGTTGCAGTCTGGCAGCTCCCATGTTTTCCATGTTGATGCTGCTTATCCTTGGTTGGGACGGTGCCAAAGTGGTCAGGGTCTGACCAGCTCAGTTTTCTCTTCTGGAATGGGAAAATAAAATTAAAAATAACAACCATGACAAACCAAGGTCTTAAAGGAGAACCACAGTTAATATATTTAACCTTCCTATGAACATGCTTTATATAGTTCCTCCAAATCTTTACAGTAACATTGTTATTCATTTCATCTATCTATCATATATTTTATTTTGCCTGACTGTATTAATATATTTTATGCTTGATTTTAAACAAATTATGTTTTAATATAAAGTAAAATGCTGTATTGCTATTTTAACATCTCTGGATCATTAGACCTGTGATCTGATTAATGCACACGTGTAAAGGCACTGTCATATGGTAGATAGCATCCAGTGTGACGCTCACCTTAACTGGCATATGGAGCTGATTTTTTCGCCAGTGTGGTAGGAATCTGGGAGCCGTGGTCTGGCTTGGTGGCTCTGTGGACTGAAATGCCACCCGAGGAAACCAAATTTTCAGCATCATCTCTATCTGCAGCAGGTTGTGAAGGTATTTCTCACTGCAGAAAAAAGGAACAAGCATTAATGATAATGCTAGGTATGGAGGACAATATCCCCTTTTCACAACTGTCATAATAAAGAGTTGCTATATGTGATGGTCTTACCCCATTTCAGGCCTCTGTAGTATTCCAAGAATCCTCTGCAGTCTGTCTATGGCAACACTTTGCTGGAAACTGGATAAACCTGCCACAATTAAATATACCAATGTTAAGGCAAATAGGCACTTTGGGGTTTAATTACAGGATGGAATACAGAACAAAAACTTAAAAAGAGATGAGTCATTTTTGATATTGCTCAACCACATACCTTTGTGAAATCGCCCAGTCTTCAGTCCATGTAGAAGATCAAGCAGAGGACAGATAAACCTGCGCAAATCTGCACACTGAGGAAATAAGCAGAGAGACTTGTTTTACTACTATGGCTGATCTGGTATTTGGCAACATAAAGTTGTTTACAAAATGAAACAAAAACCTAGGAATCAGTTTAAGGGTGCTCACTTTCTGAGCAAAGGCCAAGTCCCCCGGTGTTGCTGAAGATGAGCCTAATGTGGCAGCTCCAGCAGAAGAGGCGGAACCGAGATGCTTCGTTTCATCAGAGCAGCATTCAGGCTGGTCTCTGTTAGTCCTCAAGTGCGGCTGTTCTGAACGAGCTGGGAAATCAAGGTAATTTCCTGAAAGTGTGATTCCCTCACTAACTGAAGGGGACTTTGTTATTCCACTGTCCCCCTCTCCCTCAGAGAAGACGTCTGCTTCATCCTCGGTCTGCTCACTCTCACTGAGGAGGAAGCTTGAGTTGGAGGGTAGTGAGTCATAAGATGGCCATTTGGAAGCACTGCCCAGTGAATTCATCTGTGGAAACAGGGAGATAATGTTTACACTGAAGTTCAATAAGTAAACTGTTGGCACAGGGCAAAATCATGCAGGTAGGGTTGCAGTACCCAAATCAAAAGGGGTTGCACTTACAGTACATTATCAGCATACTACATAGTGGTATATAGTATTAATAGTACATTGCACAAAAATGTAAATGAAATAAAATATTCAGTACAATGTGATACTGGCTAAATCAAAGGTTTCTGCTTTTTAGAATATATTGACACATAGAAACTAGTGATGATTAATAATATTAATATGAGACAAAGACAATTTTTTATATATATAAATGTCTAATAAGCTCATAAATTATGTAATGCAGGCTTTAAAGATAAAAAAAAAAACACAAGCTATATCACAACAAAAAATACCTATTGACATTACATAACAATGTCAACCAACCCATATCACACAGTCAAAACAAGATGTATAGAAGTTACTCATAAATTAATCCTAATATTCAGCAAAATGTGACCCAAGCCCAATCCAGTCACTATCGTGCCGTACAAAGTGTACTTGCTGTCAGGTTATTTGAGTGAAGTCAAGCCTCAGCAAGTGTAATATAAACCGAGACGTAAACGATCAGCGTTGATGTATTATCACATCGGGAGTAGACACACAAAGGACCTGCTCCTGTGACTACGATTATGCAAATCAACCCATGCAGTATAAAGTACGTAGATGTGTGCAACGGCCCCTGTGCTCCAGTGGGAACTCATCTGAGCACGAAGTGTGTACATCCACTGTTTGTTTTTTTAACGTCAGCTCAATAATAATTAACCTCGCTATTATGATTTGACATTAAAAAAAAGAAATTCTTGTTTTCAACCCCGTTTCAGGTTTCTGCTGCCATGTATACACGTGTTAAGTGACGATCGATAACTTAGCTGAGATAGATGAATGTCTTAGTGGCAAACGCGTGAAAACAACATGTGATCCTAGGTTGACGATACCCGTTGGGGACTCGTCAGAAAACGTATATTAACCGTAGAAGTTAAGACAAAAAAAGGGGTTACTTATTCTATTTAACGTAGAGTGAGTCTAAAAAAAAAAACTCCAGAAAAAAAAACAACAACAACAGAATAAAGTCTTACCTTCAAGATGGAGCAGAATTTGAACCACGAAGAAACGTTAAAAACACGCTCGAGAAAGGCACGTTACTTGAAAACGTTGAAAACAACAAGTCTCGCAGGAGAAAGTCAAACACGGCTAACGGCTATCTCAGAACGTGTGTACACACAACGGTGACGCCTGTTGTCCAGTTCTAGCTCGGTCCCACCCTGCCTCTTCAATTCCCTGCTCGTGTTCCGTTTACGGACGTTCCAACCTGTTCAAAAAGTACTCGCAGAGAGGCAACGGACGCTACACGTGCTGAATAGGTACAGCGGCGCGATTGGCTGCGAGGGGGTTCGCTCGTCTCCCATTGGCTCGGGGGCTCGGCCAATCGGGAGCGTCCGCCGCGCAGATTGGCCGGTATATGCGTAGATCCCACCTCACCTGCGACGGCGGCACGTGCGGGTGGTGTGGCTGAAGAACGAGATGAACAGCACGCGGCATTTGGCATGTGCTGAAAATGTTGGTAAATGAGGTTACATTTGGCCTGCTTTAAAAGACACAATACTTATGGAGGGGGCGATAACAGTGAAGTTACGTGTCACAATGCTGGTATTTTTCAGTGCCATGATGTGTTTGTTTGTGTTTATCTTTATTACATTTTTTTTTTTTTTAATTTTGTCATGTAAGGATAATAAGAATAACAAAGACTGAACAGTGTGCATAAGAGATTAATAAGGACCAGGTTGGTTTGTCACTAAAGTCCAAAACAGTTAACATTTATCTGCACCATTTAAAAATACTTTGTTACCCTGCTAGCTGGCCATGTATGGCAACCCCTGTTTAACATATGGCCATCCTTCATCTCCATATTCTCCCAAATGATCATTAAAGCCATGTTGTTTTGATAAAGTGCGAAGGATGGATGCAACAGGGAGCCCAGCAGACAATGCAAACTGTATATTTATTAATGCACGACTGCACTTTTAAGAAATAATTCTGCACTTTCAGCAAATCCAGCCCAGATGGGACACTATGTGTGTGCTGTAGGAGCTCTAGTCTCTTCATTGTTCATGATGAAGTATATGTAGATAAGACAGACAAGCTTATGAGATATGGCATCATAGTCCTATTAGAGCCTGAGGCAGAAAGCTTGGGACACATGCAGTCATTACATAGTGACATAATGCTGCACATGATTGCTGCATGAGCAAGTGAATCACTTCTTTTGTCTTGAGGTATGGCAGGATGAACAGAAAAGGGCGTCTCAATAAATGCATGACAGTATCTCAGACCCTCAGCCAGGGGGTCGGATATATTTGGTGGACTGGTACAAAACCTAATTATAGTTCAAACAATTGTGACTGCCATTATCACAAAATAATTAAATTAAATTGGAGTTTCCGGGGTATCTGTACTGGGTCCCCAGGCAAATCAACACATCAGTAATGTTCTTTTAATGCAAGATTGTTTGTGTCTTTCTTGTCAGCAGTGTTGGGCTAGTTACTCAAAAATTACTCATTACTTACTTATTATAAAAGTAATATAATTACTTCACCTATTACTCCCTGTCAACAGTAATTAGTTATACTAGATAGATAGATACTTTATTTATCCTGAGGGAAATTCAAGTATCCAGTAGCATACGAAATACATACATTAAACATACATTAAACCTACATTAAAATAAAATTAACATAACATGGTAGCCACAGTAAACAGTGCAAAACAGTAAACAGTGCAAATGGAAGTAAACAGTGCACTATGAAATTGGTAATTGATTCCTTTCTCCACAAAATTCAGACTTACGACGATTAAAATCCAATTTTGTTTGTTAAAATCAAAGTAATGTGAATACTTCCAGCTGCTGAACATTTCCATGAATCCAAGGATGTGATTGGATTGTTATTGATTTCAAATCAGAAGGGGGTTGTAATATTGTAATTCATTTTTGGAGTTTTTGGAGGAGTAACTGCAATATTATTCCTGAAATGTATTAGTACCTAGTTACACTACTAGTTACTGGGAAAAGTAATCTTAATATAAGTAATGTGTTACTGCCCAACAGTGCCTGTCGGGGGCTCTTTGTCATCTTATAAAAGGCTTGATGCACGCTCCTGAAGTTGCACAGTGTAATTTAGCTCCAGATTTTTGATTGCAACATGGATACCGTCACTGAGCAAACAGCATTGTCAATACTATCAGCTGATTGAGAAACCATGCAAACAGTGGTGGCCATTACTAACAGCTCTGTTTTCAGAACTGTGAACATGGAAACAGCTGAAGGCTGCTTCTACCATGTGATTTTAGAGATGCAGACTTTCAGTGTCATCTGTTAGATAGTGGGAAGGTGACAAGTTTGCTTGATGATACTGTTGCAGATCATATCCATAAGAAGATTCTGAGCTAATTTTTAAGCCCTTGGGAGCGTATAGTACACATCTTTCTGCAGTGGTCGAATTAAAAACGTTTGAGGACAAAAGAAAAACCAAAGGCAAATCTGAAAGTACTGAAATAATTAGTCTAATCGTTAGTTTAAACTGGCTCTTTGCACATTCTGAGAGTAAGTAAGGCACATTTATTTTAGTACCATAGTTATTAGATGTTGGATTAGAACTAATGATATTAAAATTAAGCATTAACAGCAGCTAATATGTTATATTGTTGAGTCAGATGTTGGATATGTATAGGAGTTTGTTACAGGACAGAAATCTGCTCCCCATGTTTTCTAATAACAAGAGTGGGTTTCCCATAATACACCTGATATTTGTCAGTGATAAGAAAGTGTAAGTGTGTGTGTGTTTGAGTGTGTATGTTAGGAAGGGACCAACAAAAACACATTTGAGCATTTCACAATCATATTACGGGATATTGATACTGACTTCACAACCTGCATGTGTTACATACTTCAGCCCTTTTTGCTTATAAAAACCTAGATGAATTACAAATGACACAATATTAAAAAACAGCATGCACTATCCTATTACCTGATTCCATATATGAAAATCTGTTCTTTAAAAGGGTCAAGAAACATATTTTCATATATGTAACTGTTTTAATTTTGTCTTTAATTTCACCGTGTTTACAGGTATTCATATCTGCCACCGACAATACAGTGGAGGTGAAAGAAAACGCGTCTGTGGAGATCACAGCATGGAAAAATTACATGGCAACATCCCTGCTACTTGGAATAAAAAAACTGTTGTTGCCAAAAAGTAGTTCCAAAGAAAACTGCTCACAGTGAGGTCTGTGGATTATCTACAGTAATGAGCATGCTTTTTATTTCTGGAAAGACACATTGCTCTTTTTAAAAGGTCATTTTTCATGCTGTCAGCAAGACAAATTATACACAAGTACCTAACAATGTTTGAGTTGGAGGCAGAAATCTCAGAGAAGCTTGAGCAAATAAAACCAAAAACTATAGCCAGATACCACTAGAGATAAGAGGAAAGGTTTTTTAACTGATCCTTTGAAAAAAAAGGAGGTATCAGGCAGCAGTCAATCTCCTTTAGTGTAAAATATAAGTAATCTATCATACTGCTCCCCTCAGTCCTTACAATGCCGCCCACTGACCGAAGCCACAGGACAGGGCATCAACATGACCTGCCAACCTCACAGACAAGAGAGCCTGGTACAATTGATTAACTTTTCCTGTGTAGGGAAGCACCCTTTAAAACCCCCCGTGGTCTAAAGCACAGGGTCTGACAGACGTGCACGGCCAATGTGTCTCACTTTTGGGAGTTTGCAAGAGGCGTCTGACACCATCAGTGGACATTAACGCCACACTGTGCAGCAGTGACCTTGAATTAATTAACTTGAGCTGCTGCTGCTGCTGCTGCTGGGATCTTATTCCCAGAATACAAACATCTCCTGCATTGTTTTTTCCTCCAGCAAATGAGGTCACATCCAACTACTTCCGAAACTACTTCTGAAGGTTTTGTGTGGCCCAATGTACCTTTAAGCCATCCATTAAACCTCTGTGTTTACAGTAGATACCAGTTTGTCTTTGTTGTTTAAAGGTAACAGTGATAAATACTTCACCAGCTTAAGATTATCAGAAAATGTAATCATATTTATCAGCTTTTTAATTCATAAGATTGTGTGGGAAGATTCAAAACACAAAATGTCATCAACCAAGTCATTAACATAATCATTACAACCAAGAATGAGCACAAAAGATTTTTCCCTTCAAGCCAAATTTTTGTAGGAAAGTAAAAAGATAAAAATGTCCATAGTTGACTTGACAATAACAATTATTCCTTTTATTGTTAAACAATGTGATATCATCATGAAAGCCACTTTTCTCAGTATTTCCCAAGTCCATTTAGATAGGACAGTGTCATTGTGTTGATGTTGATTGCTTCTTCTACTTTGTTGGCCCCGTCTAGAGCAGCCCACTGCTAACGCCCGGTTTCATCCCGCTCCATTCGACTAGCTGCCGAGCCAAGGATCCACTCGGTTTGTCTTGGAGATGAAGCCGATTTTTCTGGACATTTCCATGTGGTAGATCCGCTTGCATCTCTCAAAGTTCAACCGCTGTCGCTCTCGGCAGGGCTTCTCGTAGTATCGCTTGTGCAACACTGTACTGATAATCTCCTCTTTAGTCAGTAACCTGCAGTACGTAGACAAAGTGTGTGAATAACTGGGACTTGGATTGCATTCAAGTCACTCTATACAGCAGGTAAATGGAAAGAGCAGTACAGGTGAAACTGGCAGAGCAGCTCATCTCAATTCATGGATTCATTTTAAATGATTTATATATTTAAACATCAAAAACATTTTCCTGCTTTGGTTAATGAATGTAAAATGCAGCAAACTCCAGCCATAGATAGCCTAATACAACACCATAGGCAATATATGACAATGGAGAACGGAGAATCCAGATCAATTAAAAGTCATAATAGAAATAATAAAAATAATAACCTGAGAGCATAAAGCATTTCTTAACTATTATGCTTTTAGGACACTTAACAATTCTTTCATATATTTTTCATTTTAATCAAAATACGTTATGTATTTAGACAATCACTGGATACAGTGCATGTTCCATATTTGGTTTTCACTATGATAATAATGCAGTGGGTCACAAAAAAAAAGAAAAATCACAAAAATGTTGGTGGACTCATTTTGCTATGTTCATTTTAATAAATACCTGGTTCTGCACTTTAAAAACATATATGCTACAATGGTGGTCAAATATATGGCGCTCCTAAGTGTTCAATATTCAACACATAAATAAATAAATAGATTATTATTATTAGTAAATTAATTAATAAATTGTGGATAATATATGAATGAAAAAATAATTTGTAAAATTAATCATAGTTGACTCTTTATTATAAAATGTTGTTAGTTTTATATGACAATTTATTTATTTTTACACATTTTTATTTCAAAATTCTCTGAAAAGTCTGCTTTTATTTTATAACTACGTTTTTCCCACTGACTGTATATTATATAACCATTGACTATATATATATATATAACCATTGACTGTATATTATATAACCATTGACTATATATATAACCATTGACTGATTTTTAACACTTGCACTTCATTCCAGGGGGCATGTGATTCGCTGACAGGTGAGAGGGCAGTAACAACACCACCGAAGAAGAAGGGATATTATGAAATAAAATGAGTCATTATGAAACGTGACACGAAACAAAACATTTTGAATTTTGAAATACATTGTCTATAATAAAATAAAAATGGTATCCAAATCTAGTTCAGTTATTATGAAATATAATAATAATAATAACAACAATAATAATAATAATGAGTTGAGTTTTACTTTCTTTAGTTATTTCACAAATTATTCATATGAGTATCTATTTAATTAATGTCAAATTGAACTTTTCGGGTTCCGTACAGGCTGTATTCTTTTAACCTCAGTTACAATGTGAGATTAATGTTTGTTGAATGTTCCCTTGGATACATTAACAGTTTGTTAAGATTTTTTTAAATATGCAATCAAGGCACACATTATCTATAATAGTAATTAATATTAATTGATTGATTAATTATTATTATCTTACTGAAACAGCCCAAACTACTGATTTACACACTTATACAACAACTACTGTGATTATTAAACATTTTTCTTTACGTAGCGTTGACGTTATTCTATCTACAAATAAATATAACGTTATCTAACGAAGAACCATAACAAACAACAAACAACAAACAACAACAACAACAACGTACACAGTACTTCAGTGAGAGGGGACACCACTGCGCAGCCGCAGCTCTGTGACATTGAGCGCAAGGCGAACGTCAGACCGAGCTAACGTTAGCTTAGCATTCGCCGCGTAACAACAAATGTCTCCTGATGGTGGAGTTTAAAAACACGAGATTGTACCTCTGCAGGATCCTGTACGCCGCTTCAACGTCGCCGTTTTCAACCATCACTGTCCGCGCCACAAAGCGAAGGTGCCTCGACATGTTGGGATCGGTTGCTTCCTCTGACACCGATCGGGTGGAAACACCAAAGTGCAAAAAGGTTCCGGATACAAGAAGCCCCATAAATCAACGCTAGGTGACGCTTTACTCAACCTTTCTCGTTAATGGGGTTTTCCATTTGTTTTTGTTTTTTTACCTCATTGTTATTTATGTAAATATTTTGTTTTATTTATATTAATACAACTTAAAGATGTGGTGTTTTGTTTTTATGATCTTTGCAACTCAAACATAAACATTTTTGTCATCTTAGCATCAAAAACTCACTAAAACTGTACATTCAAACCAAGACTCTTAACACAAATAAAGTTCATTATATAATCCTCTGAACGGCTGAACCTTTTTGTCTTGTTTTATTTGTTTGTTTGTATTTTGCTTTACTCCTGTGTGTTATTGATATATCTTATCAAATATCACAGCTTTTATTTTGTTAAATACCCTGTGGACATGAAAGAAATGACACACTACAAACATCTCTACAGCACAGGGAACCAACGAGCAATTCTTATAGTTTATAAACAGGGAGATAACTTTCAGGCCAATCACAGATTTATGAAACTACATGCGTTGTCATAGGAACAGGGTAGAGCGGTGTCCAGTGTTATCCTTTCATCAAGGCCATTCTCCTCTTCTTCTTCTCATCCCTGAGCTGCTGTTGTCCTCTGCGTGTCTCAGTCTGAGGTCAGCCAGCGGTGAATGCTGGCCTGGATGGTATGTCCAATTTGCATTCAAAAGTGCTTTTATATTTCCTTTCTCTGTACAAAATACCTGATGAGGTTAATTCCCATGTTGCTGTAACCCTGTAGAGTGCCGTAGCTGCATGGTGCCACGGGGAGAAATGCTGGGACAATCTGCACAGATAACATCATGACTCCTTTTGTTGGGTGAATGCACTGCATCATGTTTCCAGAGGCATCCCTTCTGATCCAGACCTGATGAAATATTCTTGGCAGTACGTGTGTGATTGTGTGTGTGTGTGTGTGTGTGTGTGTGTGTGTGTGTGTGTGTGTGTGTGTGTGTGTGGAGCAGACTGGGAGAAATAAAGAACAGAAAGAGAGCGTATAACTTAAAGAAAATTAAGTTTGCTCTGAGAGTTTTGTTTCACTCGGGGTGCTATCATCAAATCAAATCTCCCTGACAGTACTTGAGGGCATTAAAAAATAGATTCATTTATTCCCACTTTCTTTACTTTAAAAGTCCAGTGTGTAACATTTAGGAGGATCTATTGGTAGAAAGGGAATATAATAGTACATTATGTTTTCATTAGTGTATAATCAAATGAAAAATGAAGGGAGGGTTTTTGAATCAGCCAATTGGTCATTTTCATCCAATTTGAATACAAACTAATTCAGCTTGACTTTGTATACTAACACAGCACAAAAAACTTACATCTTACATGTAAATCAATCCCTGAATTTGTACTTAAGTTATTGGTGCTGTAGTATAAAATTAATGTGTCATATAAATAAACACATATACATATATAAACGATTCAGTCAGAATTGAAGGATTTTAGCAGAATGTATCCTTGTATATAGTCTTACACCGACACTGTTTACCTCAAAGAGTCACTAAACAGTGTCTTATGTCTGTGTTTGTTTACCAAAATAAACATGCAGCCCTAAAGACATGTAACCTGCCACCGTCCAGTCCAGATAAAGACAGGGTGAGATGGCAGCATGAGTCAGCGCTGGGTAAATGGCCCTCACACAGTCTGCACAGTGTGTATGTGCAGTTTGATCATAATGAATACATTGATGTGTCTCCTCTCTCAGACATTTTAATTGTACTGTGAAAGTGTTGGTGGCACTTTCCTGCCTCCAGCTGCATGTCTTATCTTTTGCCCCTATCATTACCAGCTTTACAACCCCGAGCTGAACACATTAATCCTGATATCTGATTTCACATTCCACATCTTACAACTTAACACATCGCTTCAGGTCGGATTGGATCCCTCTGTAAACCCTTGCTTAAATAGGTATAATGACTGTTCTGGACTTCTTGACAAATAACTGGGACTAACATGACACCAACTTTAAAAAAAAAAAAAAAACAATTAACTGGCTGCTCATCAACATCAAAGCACTTACTGGAAGTGCATTTTCCAGCTCGTATCCAAATCTTTCACCATGCTGACAGAGGTGGTGGGTACAGAATCAGGGGGGAAAGTCCCTCCCTGCCACCAGCCTCTGTATTGGCTGAACCAGCATCACATCCCAGGCGAGCTGTTAGCCAATCAATGGAGGCGCAGATGCAGGCAGAGGAGAGGACTTCGCAAACCGGTTAACGGAGAGGGAGAGACTCGAACCGGAGAGCTTGCTGCAGTCTCACTCGGCTTTCTGATCTGCAAAATCATCATCACAATGGAGAAGAAAACCACAGATTTCTCAGGAAAATGGAAAATGAAGTCTTCGGAAAATTTCGAGGAACTTTTGAAAGCGCTGGGTGAGTGATGTGTTTAATGTACACGCATAGATTCATATTGTATTTAATTGGCTTACAGAAAATGCCCAATAAAGGTGTTTATCTGTCCCTAAAAAGTTTTCCAACACGAGATTGTGGGTTGCATCCTGTTTTTGGCGGAAAGCTTTAGATCAAAGTGCTTTACATGCAAAAAACTATTCAAACTGTGATGCCAGTTGAGAGTTAAGCCGCATATTGTTATCTGGTTTATCATCAACCATTCAGCTCCATTGTCAAAATGCAAAAAAGAAAAGGGAAAGGGAAGCATCTCCTGCACAAAGACCTGTCAATCACGTTGTCAGTGGCATTATCAACTGGAAATCCACTTGGCTCAGAGGTCAACTGGAGAACCAAAGTGGTTTGAAGTGGGTTCTCTGTGGTTAAATTGGTTTGCCCCTGCCCTGCTGCCCTTATGTTCCTGGGAATACTGGTCTTGTTAAGCTATAGGAGGCTGTATGGACTCCGGTTAAAAGACAGAACAGGAGAGAGAAGGAGGTCAGGCGAGGGCCAGCCAGTGGCATCCATTAAAAATCTGAAGACAAATAGCCTGTGGAGGAATGTTAGATTAGACTCATCTGAAGCAGAGTCCTCCTCATGCGGTTGTAATTAGAGCCAGTGTAAACGGAACTAAGCCTTGACATGGGCCCCAGCAGCCAGCCGGCTCTGAGACTGACTTTCCTTCACTTCCCTGGGCCTCTCTGACCCAATCTACGGCTGTGGGTGTGGGTGTGTGTGTGTGTGTGTGTGTGTGTGTGTGTCCTCTGTACCACTGCATGGGCAAATATGGTCTGAACTAAATCAGATCTGAGTCAGTCCAGCTCATGTGAATAATGGCAAAAACTAAAGGGTCAACATGCAGTTTTATATTTATTAAACATCACATCACATCGCTACAGACTCAGGACACAGATGTTTATATAGGCTATTTATTCTTTCAGCCTAGTTGTTCATGGCACATCAGTAACTAGGCCGGTTGTACATCTCTCCTGAAAATCCTGTTATATTTCCACTTGTTGCATAAATTCATGGATTAGTTGTAGAATGGGCCTACCAGGCACAGGCCTATGGGCCCATAGGGGTCAGGGGGCCTCTATTTGAAGTTACTTTGAACATTTCTTGTTGGAAAGTCAAATTACTACAAAGACACACAAATCAACCTGCAAAGAGATGAATATAAAGATGACTGTAAAGAGATGCAAAACAACTAAAAGGAGATGTGAAACAACCTAAGAGAGACACAAAATGGCCACAAAGAGATGCAAAATGCAAAATAGATATAAAAATACATAAAGACACACAGAACACAAAACAATCATAAAGGAAACGACAACAAAGAGACACAATGTGGCTATTAAGAAACGCAAAACAACCACAAAGAGCATACATTAAGTTCTTAGATTAATTTCTGTGATTCATTCAGTACAGCAGAAAACATCAGCGTGCAGAGACTTGAAACTAAGTAACTAATTACAATGAACAATTCATTGTCTTATTATTTTTTCATCAAAGTTATGTTATAATTGTGTGGCATTGCAGCAGCACAGACTGTTTTGAAAACGTTCAGGCTGCCAAAAGGCATTGTGAGAAGAAGGGCATGGATTGTTAGTTGTTACTCACTTGTTATAAAATCTGCTGAATGACTGCCGACTCTCAAATATCAGATGACATAGTTTCACTGAATGCCAACCATGGAAACATTTCCCAAAACATTCCCCGCTCGCAGCTGAATTACCACAAAGCTATAATGTAACACTGTCAAAAAACTAAAGGTGCGGAAAGTTTTGGTTAAAACATAAAAACATATAATATGTTCTGTATATGATATTAGTTTCTGTCTGTGTGTGAACAGGTGTGAATGTGTTCCTGAGGAAGATTGCAGTGACAGCGGCCTCCAGCCCGGCAGTGGAAATCACCCAGCAGGGAGAGTGTCTGTCCATCAAGACCTCCACCAGTGTCCGTACTACCCATGTCTCCTTCACTGTGGGTCAGTCCTTCAGTGAGGCCACAGTGGATGGACGTCCCTGCACGGTACACATCCCGTAACTTCCCATGTAGCATTCCTGTATAATGTATTAATACGTGCATACCAGCATTTGGCCAAGGACAGCATAGCTAGCCTAGAGTTCTGCACAGAAGAAACATATGGAAATAATTTCACTCCAGAGTCAGTCCTGGTGATAATACATGGATCTGTTCTTCATTTCTTCATGCTCAGTAAGTGGTGATGGACATAGTTCCTGACAAGCCATAAAAATGTTCTGACATGCAGTAATCAGCACAGAGTTCCAGTTATGACGAAACCCAAACTTTGCTATAACTTCACAGCGTCCAAATGTCCTTTATTAAAGGCAAGTATGGACTGGAAATAAGACATTTATTCAAAGAATCTGCTTGGAACAATAATGTGTGTCTGATATGTTTTTCCACACACACAAAAATATAATGTCCACATTAAAATCCTTAAAAAGGCATCTTCTCCTTCTACCTCATTAAAAATCCCAGGACTTATGAATATGCAAGTTTTGTTCATTTGTGAAGTTTGTCCTTCCACAAGATGTCTCCTACTCAACTGTCAAGTC